TCTACAGTAACTCTATCTATTTGAGAAAATTTTAGAAAAAAAATTTTTGAATATTTTTTTGGACATGAAAGACTCAGAGGGATGTTTCTCCGCGAATACATGACTTATTTGGATATACTATAGCTCATTCGAAACTACATTAAAAACAGTCTATAAAACTTGTTCTAAGCGGATTCTACAGTAACTCTATCTATTTGAGAAAATTTTAGAAAAAAAATTTTTGAATATTTTTGGGACATGGAAGACTCATAGGGGTGTTTCTCCGCGAATACATGACTTATTTGGATTTACTATAGCTCATTCGAAACTACATTAAAAACAGTCTATAAAACTTGTTCTAAGCGGATTTTACAGTCTCTGTCTATTTGAGAAAATTTTAGAAAAAAAATTTTTGAATATTTTTTGGGACATGAAAGACTCAGAGGGGTGTTTCTCCGCGAATACATGACTTATTTGGATATACTATAGCTCATTCGAAACTACATTAAAAACAGTCTATAAAACTTGTTCTAAGCGGATTCTACAGTAACTCTATCTATTTGAGAAAATTTTAGAAAAAAAATTTTTGAATATTTTTTGGGACATGAAAGACTCAGAGGGGTGTTTCTCCGCGAATACATGACTTATTTGGATATACTATAGCTCATTCGAAACTACATTAAAAACAGTCTATAAAACTTGTTCTAAGCGGATTCTACAGTAACTCTATCTATTTGAGAAAATTTTAGAAAAAAAATTTTTGAATATTTTTTTGGACATGAAAGACTCAGAGGGGTGTTTCTCCGCGAATACATGACTTATTTGGATATACTATAGCTCATTCGAAACTACATTAAAAACAGTCTATAAAACTTGTTCTAAGCGGATTCTACAGTAACTCTATCTATTTGAGAAAATTTTAGAAAAAAAATTTTTGAATATTTTTTTGGACATGAAAGACTCAGAGGGGTGTTTCTCCGCGAATACATGACTTATTTGGATATACTATAGCTCATTCGAAACTACATTAAAAACAGTCTATAAAACTTGTTCTAAGCGGATTCTACAGTAACTCTATCTATTTGAGAAAATTTTAGAAAAAAAAATTTTTGAATATTTTTGGGACATGGAAGACTATGAGGGGTGTTTCTCCGCGAATACATGACTTATTTGGATATACTATAGCTCATTCGAAACTACATTAAAAACAGTCTATAAAACTTGTTCTAAGCGGATTCTACAGTAACTCTATATATTTGAGAAAATTTTAGAAAAAAATTTTTTAATATTTTTTGGGACGTGGAAGACTCAGAGGGGTTTTCTCCGCGAATACATGACTTATTTGGATATACTATAGTTCATTCGAAACTACATTAAAAACAGTCTTACTCAAAACCCCGGCATCAATTTTTATGTCCCGATATTACCTTTTTTCCTTTCTCCATCAGTGAAATTGATACTCGTGTGATGCCGCCTAGAAATATTATATACTTTTACAAAATTTAGGAAATTTGTTTTAAATTTGTTTAAAAATTTTTTGCTGGTTTTATTTGCAGAATTTTTGTTTGTATTTTTTCCTCTCCCTTACTTCCTCCTCCCCCGCTTTATTTTAAAAGAAGAATTTTACTTTTTATTCATCTAACCAGAATCTAATTAATTTTAAATTTCGAGAAATAATATTATTTTTAATAATTCTGATTTTTTAAAATTAAATTAAAAATAATTCTGGTTTTTAAAAATCATAGTTAATTCTGATTCTGATTTTTCTGATTCTATTTTAATTATAGTTTTTAAGATAAAAGAGTTCTGATTTTCAAAATTCTGATTTTTAAAAAATTCTGATTTTTTTTAATTCTGATTTCTTTTAAATTCTGATTTTTAAAACTGGTTATTAATATAAAAATCAGAATTCTGATATTAAAATTTAAAAAAATTCTGATTTTCAAAATTCTGATTCCTAAAAAATTCTGCTTTTTCAATTCAGATTTTTTAATTCTGATTTTTTAAAATTTCTGATAATTAAAATTTATATAAATCAGAATTTAATTTTTCTTCTTTGTATTTTTCTTTATTTAATTCTAAATTTTTTCAGATTTTTTCCGTTATTAATATTTTTATTTATTATTTTTATTTTAGCCCCTAAAGCTAAACTTTCCTTTTTTGAAGCTTTATTTACTCATTTTCTTCTAGTGACTATTTTTTCTAACAATAAAAAGTACTTTATTTTCCACCGGATGCTTTTCTAATAATAATGACAATATTCCTTCTCATCTTTAATTACTTAATTTATTCTTGAGATATTTTTTACAAAAAAAAAGTTTTATTTTAAGACAATAGCAAAAGTATTTTTATTAAAAAGCCTCATCGTTCCCTGAAAAATTATTTTTATTCTGATTTATTTAATTCTGAAAATTCTGATTTTTTGAAAATTCTGATTTAAAAATTCTGATTAGAAAATTCTGATTTGAAGTTCTGATTTCGAAAATTCTGATTTATTAAAATTCTGATTTTGTGATGATTCTGATTTTTATAATTCTGATGGAAATTCTGATCATGCGAATTCTGATTTTTTAATTCTGAATCTTTTTTGAAAATTCTGATTTTTAATTCTGATTTTATTTTATAGCAACATCACGAAAACAGAACACGAAGTATTTCTGTTTGCACAATACAGCAAAAATGCCTATTAACGACAGTCAAATAATTTTACCAAATAATACCCGTAAAGCTTCAGTTGCCCATCCTTGTTTAATGCCTCCCTTGACACGTTTACGTATTCAACAAAGTTTCAAGAATGCAAAGTGGCTTATTAAAAATTTTTCTCATTTATACAGTCACAGCTCATTGCTTACCCCTATAGTAAATAGAGACCGGGCTGGGAGCGTCGTACATAGTCTCTTCTTTTCGATCTTCTCTTCGGTCTCTTTATATGAGATCTCGGCTCGGGTTTGGTCTCTACTATTAAATGCTCCTATTAGGTACCCTCAAAATTAAATACCCCCAGCATTGGAAACCTTTAGAGGTAGATACCCTCGGAATTAGCTACCTCCCTTCTTGAATACCCCCAATTTTGGACACTCCCAGAATTGGATACACCCTTTAAGATATGCCCTTTTAAATTTGGTTGGCCATTAGATGAGAGGAAGCTGGGAGCCATTAGAAGCACAATAGCTTCTATTTAATAGACGCCTTACCTTCTATTTAATAGACACCCAAGAAGCCAGATTTCTTTCTTTTTCAGCGCCGCAGGCGAAAATTTTGATAATTTCGAAGGCCCAAGGCTAAAAAAATTCACTTTTTTGCCCAATCCCTTCCCCAATTTCATTTTCAATCCAAAATGTTGATTTTAAAGTATATACTTTCAATAAAGTATAAATTCAATTTCTTAAGTATGGAGGTCGGTTTCAAAGTATAATACTTTCAAATAAAGCACGAATGAGAGCCCTGTTATAAGATACGTTTTTTTCAGCCCCCAAAGGGGTATCTAATATTTAAGTCTGACTAAAAATAATTTTTATAGACCCATAATTGGACACAAAATTCTGAAACGAGCTTCTACTCTTCGTAACGAACTTAAAATTTTTGTTAATAATTTAACCAAAGAAACTGCAAATAAATTGGAAGAAAATATTTTTCGGCTAGTTGTTAATTGTGTTACTAACGTGGATTTTCCTTCTAAAGTTTGGAGGGAAAAGGAATTTTTTTAATTTCCTATGAATTTAAGGTAGCTTCGAATTCTTTTGCGTTTGGTGAATTTTTTGCCCAATTTTGTATTTTTGGATTCCGTCCAGACTTTTTCTCTACAATTGCTGATGCAATGGTAGCTGAATGCGTTAGGCAGGATGGGGGTGCTCAGAAGCGTTGCGAGACATTGTAAATTCTGATTTTTTGTTAAATTAAAATTCTGATTTTTGAAAATTCTGATTTCTCAAAATTCTGATTTTTATATATTCTGTTTTTCGGAAATTCTGATTTTTTGTTAAATTAAAATTCTGATTTTAGAAAATTCTGATTTCTCGAAATTCTGATTTTTAAGATTCTGATTTTTATAAATTTCTGATTTTAAAAGAATTCTGATTTCTTTAAATTCTGATAGCTAAAGATTCTGATTTTTATAAAACACAAAAATTCTGATATTAAATAAAAATCCTGATTTTTCTAGAATGGCTTGGTCCCTTCTAATGCAGTTTATTTTCTCCAATGTGCGCGATGGGTATTATGCTGAAGTGCGTCAACAACGGCGTTCTAGTCTACCCCAGCAACTATTTTTATTAAAACAGAATAATCTGAATAATGCAACAACTGGGAGAGGAAGTCTGTAAAAAATATTATTTTTAGCAAAAAATTTTTTTTGAAATTTTCAGAATTTTTGATCATTTCTTAAAAATTTTTTTGAAATTTTGGAAATTTTTTAAAATTTATTTTTTCAAAATTTTCAAAAAATTTTTAATAAATACTCAAAAAATATTTTCAATTTTATTTTTAAAAATAATATTTTTAATTTTAATTTTTCACCACACATCACTCTATTTCATATTTTTAATGTTTATTTTACACCCATTAAAAATCAGGCGGTTTATATATTTTATTTTAATTTTTATTCAAAAAATTTTCTTAAATGTTTCTTAAAAACGATTGCTCTCAAACCGAGTCCACCACGTATTTTGTTAACACATGAATTTGTTTTTCTTTTTTTTCTAATTTTCTTATTATGACAATTCATCCCAACATTTTTAAGATATATTTTAAGCAACGTGTCTCCCTCCTCTACCTCCCCCTCCCTCCCTCTCCCTTCCAAAAAACATCCACAAATATTTTTAATTCCTTCCTTAAGTTATCATTTCCAACATTTAATTTATAAAAGAAAAAAATTTTTTTAATTATATTTAGCGCTTGATTTTATTATTTTATTTTTTAGATGTGGTAAAAAGCCCAAATATTTTTTGGGCTTTTTGGCTTGTTTAAAAAGCCAAATAAAATCATATATTTATTTTTCTTTTAAAAATTTCTTCTAGAACAAATCTAAAAATTTTAAAATGTTATTTTTAATTTTATTTTTATTAATTTCAATTCCACTAATTAATTTTATTAATTTTGGCAATTCTTTAATTTTTAATGGAAATTCTGAAAATTTCAATAAAATTAAATTTAATTATTTCCGTATAAAAAGACAAGGAAGATTTAAAAGAGCAAACAAAAAATGGACTTTAGATGAATGTAAATATGCTTCTTTTGGGAAACCGTGGATGTTAGAAGATTGCTGTAAACAAGGGCATGGGAGGGCTATGAAGTTGGGTTGTAATTGAGAAATGATTTTTTGGAAAAAAGTGATATAATGATTAAATTGATTATTTTTTATAAATATAGATCGGTTATGTGATAACTTTTATCAGCAGCAAAAAAAGTTTTTGGCTCTGGTTTAGGACATGCGTCCCATGAGCAATGGACGACTCAACGATTTGACTGTACCAGGGAACCTGCCGACATAAAAATAAAATTCCCAATTTCGGGAATAGGAGCGGCAGGATCCCTGGATTCGGTACAGGATCCCTAGAACCCATGATCCCGCACTCATCGTGGACCCTAATGAGGCTCATCGTGGACCCTAAGGAGGCGCTTAAACGCTCATGTGACGCAAATCCGCAAATCCTAAAAAAACTTGTAGGGTTGAATCTCGATAACACGTCTCTATCTCTCTCTTCTTATTACACCTGTGAGACGTCTTATAGCGAAGTTTATCACATAACTGATTGCTGTTTTCAATTTTAACTAAATGCTTTGATTAATAATTTACATGTGTATATCTCTCCCCTTATTACTATTTTTATCTTGTAATTAATTAAATTTTGTGATAAATATAATTTAATTTCTGAGTAGATTATCCCAACAGTTCAAGTGTTCCGGGTGTACTCAACTGGTACAGTATTTGAAAATAAATTGGTACTCAAATGTATTTTTGTCTTCGCGTTGAAAAGTCTCGTTTTTCTTTCCTTCTCTTCTTCCACTTTCTCTTGTCTCGATCATTTTGAACCTCATTATGCCAATATAATATTTTGCCAACAAGGCTAAATATTTGCATTTTGTCTTCTAGTTTGTTGACAAAATGTAAATTTTTAGCCTTATTGGCAAAATGTGATATTGGCAAATTGTTCTACGACCATTTTCATTTTCGAAGTGTAACCGTGAGAGAATATATCGAATAATCAACAATTTAAAACGCTAAATTGTAATAAACTTTAATTTCTTTTGTTTTAAAAAGTCTAGAAATTTTTGCTTATTAGTCGTGCATTCTAGAGTTAGGCCTGGGTCTGGACCAAAGCTTGGGGTTTTCCTTACTCAGCGTCCAGGTCCAGGCATTTTTTGACCTTCCTGGGTTTTTCCTGAGCCCGGGGTTTTTCCTGGACTACAGGCCCATGATCCTGTCCAGGTCAAGAAATCAAACTCCAGAGTCCAGGAACAGGTCCAGGCTTTTCAAAATTTCCGATCTCTAGTGCATTCTTTGTTTATTTAAAATTTCGCGTGTGTTCGGTTTCTCTTCGAATTCATCAAATGTCTGAGGAATATATTGTAGCTGAATTTGATTACCAAGCTCAAGAAGACCAGGTTCTTTTTAATTTCAATATTCTTAAAATGTGTCTTTGTTTTTTAGGAACTTTCATTAGTCAAAGGAGAGAGGCTTGTATTGATTGATGATAATAAACTTTGGTGGAAGGTTTTTTTTGCTTTATTGCTTTTGAATACAAGTTTTCTTTCAAAGGCACGCAATATGCATGGAGATGTTGGATTTGTACCGAGTAATTATGTCAGGAAAGAAGGTTGTTATTTTTGAATTTTGGGTTATAGGGCATTCACCGGGACTCTCCTGTTTTATATTCGAGGCGGATCGTCACAAAGTGCAGGTTCACTGCCGAGCGTCGGGGCAAGTCCGTTTTGGGCACTATCCAATGTGTTTATTTGGGGATAACGAGCACGTCAGTCTATCACAGAGTTATAACCGTTGATTTAGAGTATTATCCGGCTTGACTAGTCACGTTCAAAATTGATCACTTGGTCTTCGACCTAGTTATAATGTGATGGACTGGGTTGTGTAAATCAGGTGGGACCTTAAGGAGCAATTGCCCTTGAAATTCGGATCTACATCTGGACTGGGTTGTGTAAATTAGGTTGGACCCGGAGGAGTAATTGCCTCTGAAATACCTCCATCCTTTCGGTTATGTTCCTTTGAGCTTTCTATTGAGTTCGACCTCTTTATACCTTTATATACACTTTAATTTCAGCAAGTAACAAAAACAACAACAATGCTGAAGCCTTTGCTTCGTCTGATCGAGTAATTTTCTTTTCTAATTTTCAAATTTTTTTAATATTTTAGAGAGAAAATGTGTTAACCATGGCAACCGTCTTGTTTAACTATACGCCTCAAAGAGAAGACGAACTTCCACTTAAGAAAGGTACAAAGCTTGTAGTTTTGGATAAATCTTCGGATGGTTGGTGGAAAGGTGAAGAAAAATTTGGAAATTTTCGGAAAGGTTGGTTTCCTTCAAATTATGTAAAGGAAGAAGAAATTGGTGGAAATGAGGAAAGGGAAGAGGAGATTGAAGAAAAAAGTGTGAAAAATGGGCAGAGACACCAGAAGCAACAGGTTGGGAGAGGACAACAACAACAAAATGAACATTTGAAGCAAATTTCAAAAAAAGTTTTGGAGGTTTGGAATTTTTTTGCAGTCCGGATAAGTTTCTTGGGCGTTTTGTAGCTCGGACTCCGGGCATTTTAAAAGATTGGCTTCGGCTCCAGAGTCTAGCCCTTTGGAGCCGCTCTATATTGCTCCGGGCTCATTGTGTTTGTGTTTCATTGGGAATTTAGGTGAATTAAGAGAGATATCGACTCTCATCAAGCTCTGGGCTTGATTCTTTCTGGTTCTCTGGGTTTGATTCTTTCTGGTTTCTTAAATTTTCTATTTGTTTTTGGACTGCTTGCCTATCTAATTTACGTCTATTTTCTCTTCTAGTTGCTTTTTTTGAAAATACTTAATAGTAAAATAAGAATTTATAAATTTTAGATTGTTATTTGCCTCTATTCCTTCGAAGCGCAAAGCTCTCAAGAATTGTCTTTTTCGAAGAATGAAAGACTGGATATTTTGG